AAAAACCCCAACCTCTCTGCTTTATTTTTCGTTCCGTGTCTGGTGGAGTCACCATCCCTGGAGGTGTTCAAAAGACGTATAGATGTGGTGCTTAGGGACCTGCTTTAGTGGTGGGCTTGGCAGTGTTAGGGTAATGGTTGGACCTGATGATCTTAAAGGTCTTTTCCAACCAAAATGATTCTATGATCTGTGCTATGGCAGTGCCCTCTGCTTCTCTTTTTCACATGATGGCTTTCGGCAGGTCTGTCTCCCTTTTACAGACTGGACCTAGAAGAGCAAAGACTCTCTTGATGTGCGGGGCACTTTTTATTTCCATAGCCTCCTTTCTCAGTAAGTTATATCCTCTGTATTCGTAGAATCATAGAAGGGTTTGGGTTGGATCTAGTCTTGTGAATTATTTACCGAGCCTCTCTTATTGCCCAATTATATAATAGTTTTGATACTGTACTGATTTCCTTCCAGCTCCTTTTGTGTATTCTCCGTAATTCTCACAGAGATGTCTAGTAGGGCCCACAGATCAATCCCACTTTCCTTATCATTATGTTTCCTTCCCATGAGATTATCAAGGCCAACACTATCTTCCACGGGGTTTACACCGATGCTCATTTGTAGTACCCACCTCAGGCTTTTATTTGTCAAACTCACTTGATCCTACTTCAAAAATTATTTCCCTGAGGTAAACCAGGAGGTGAACAAAGTTGAAATTCCTCTTTTTCATAAGTTGAACTCTGTTCTTGCCCATGGTGTATCGTCTCTGAAGAAGGAAACTTGTTGTAGTGACCCCCATGTCTTTGGAGAGGAGGGAAACGTGTGAAAAGGAGAGGCAGCAAGATGTGATAGAGGAGTCCTGATGGTTTTTTGAATCCCTCATCGGTGTCCGTGCTACACCAGCACTACCACACTCTAAAATGGATCCTGTATTTTCCCGTGGTCTCTGAATGTTTGCAGTAGCCGGGCAGGCAGAATGAATTGTCTCAAGAGTATTAAGATCATAAATTTATGGTTTCCCTCCTCTCCCTGTAAATCACAGGAGTTGGTGTGGAGTGTGGGGCTGAGGCAGTCAAGTCTCCATCTTCCATTTTTTAAATCGGAAATCTGTGTTTATAAATAATGACTGTTCCAGCTAATGAGATCCTTCAGCTGCTTTCAGTGCCAGCGCGCCGATCTTGCCGTAGCTCTTGTTTGCAGTCCTCGTTTTTCACGGGGTCGGGGCGTTGCTTGCCGTCTTAATTAAAGCGTTTTGTCATCGAGTACTCAGGTCACTTCTTGCATGTTCACACAGGCGCCCTCGGAGGTGTATCATCTCCTCTGTGTGCGAGCATTTGCACGGAGAGCCACGTAGTTGGGGAGCCGGCCCTGACGCTCTGCCGTCCTGCTCCTCCTAGTCAGCCCCACTGCGGGGTGAACAGCGAGCAGATTCCCAGGGCATCACCCCTTGGAGAGGGTTTTCCACTGACGGGGGTTTATCAGCCAATAACACACTTTAATGAGACCTGCCGGAGTGTTCCAAGGGCCGGAAAGTTGCAAGGTCGCTGCGTTTGCTTTGGTGAAAACCTGAATAATTTTAAAGGTCAAGCGGGTTGGTACAGCCAGGCTAGGGGCTGCGTTGGGCTGTAGCAGCCTGCAGAACGTGGTGAAGATGAGCAAGGACGCAGTTGTCCCTTACGGGCGCGCGTGGTGGTCTTCCACACACCAAATACTCTCCTGTGTGTTGAAAGCCTCTCCGGAATCACCCAGTGTAACTGTGTAAGGAGACTGCTTTGTCAAGCTGCCACTTGACTTTTGAAGTAGCTTCGTAAGGAAGCCTTTAATTAACCATTTTAGACCTTTACTTCCCCACATACCAAGGAGCTCCCAGAAGGATATGCTTCTGAAAAGCAGAGCAAGTTTCAGCAGGCAGTTAGCATAATCTATAAAGAGAAAATTTACTTTGGATATGTGTTTCTCATCAATTCAAACATGTGGGCAAATTTGGTAGTTACAGAAAGATGCTGGCTGCATTTGAGGTTCAGGTTACCACACAGCTGAGGGATTTCAGCACTTCCTGATGTGATTTTTATGTAGGGTTTGGTTTTTTTTAGTGAATAGAGAAAAATGTGATTTTTTTGTGAATAAGCTCTACAAGTATATTTCATTGTACATAGATATTTTTAAATTTATTCTATATATATGAAATATTAGTTTTCCATGGTAGGATGAAATACACTAAAGTCAGTTAAGGTATTAAAGTCAATCCTCTATTTAATTTTGAGAAGCGTGCTTCGGACTGAAAACAGATTCATGGGGGATGCTGCGGTTTCAGTCTTATAAAAGAAATGGATAAATTCCTGCCAGAAAACAGGAGGTTACTGTGACCAGGAGAGGGAACAGTCCAGCAACGTACAGTTCTGTTACCTTGTTGTTTTGCAGCAGCGACCTGTGGGAAGGCGCCTGCAGGAGCAGGACTGCCGTTTCTTTGTTGTTTCTCACTGTTGCACGGCCTACGGCTCCCAAGTTGCTTTCTCGTAGGGGGGGTGATGAGGAAAACCGATCAGCAAATGGTGTACAATTAGTCGTACCTCTAACTAATGGCTGAGGTCAGGTGATTTCCAGGAGCAGCGGGGTTTATAATTCCTGCAGGAGTAAGAGGGACCATAGAGAGGAAAAGAGGATAAAGCTATTTTGAAGCCTCAAAGCGGCAAAATGGGTTATTTCCCCTAACTTCTGCCTGTGACACAAATACATATATTAATGAAAAATAGATTCCGTGAGAGCAGGGGGGGACCCCAGCGCTGGCTGGAGGCGGAGCGGCCGAGCCGCCGGGCCGGCGGGCTGG